ACAGACAGACACAGAGAGAGAGAGAGAGAGAGAGAGAGAGAGAGAGAGAGAGAGAGAGAGAGAGAGAGAGAGATTGTTTTAAGTGTACCAAGGGGGAAAACTCATACACAGCGACAAGTAATGCATCGCCACAAAGTTATTCACCCTATTACTCGTATGGTAAGTCTTCCATGTAAAATCAGATAAAAGTCAACTTCAGCCAAGTGTTCAGAACGTATTTGACACACTCCTAGTCATCATATCTGCAAACTGTCGACCCTTATACAGTAAAATGACATCGGCGTCTGTGGTGAAGTGGTTACTCATGGGCGTTTCACTGTCGAACCCATGAAATCTGAGTGCGATTCCTGAGAAGAAAGATTCCTATTTTTATCGAGTGTATTATATCGGTCTTAGCCAAGGTTGGCCCAGAAGGGTAAGGTCGGGTGCCCATCTCCCAAATGATTGAAAGTACGTCAATGGAGGCGTAAACACACATACTGAAAAAAAAATTAGATGGAGAACTCGCTTACGTCATAGGTCAGTGAACTCTTTCACTGCCAGGCCCGGGATATAAGGAACGAAGCTAGTCTTCGAGTAAAAGCACATTCCTGCGATTAAAAAAAATTGTAGTAAAACTCAGTTTGTCTGTTTGCCAATGTAGAGAAACGATAACAGCGACGGGGAAGGCTTTTTTTATTTAACGACATACCGGGATTCTAAAAAAAGACATTTACAGAGTAATAATAAATAGCTCGGTCATATTATTTCAAACACTTTCAACAGAACTTCTAACAAATAAAAATTCAACAGTGGGAATGTTAAGTTTATTAATGTGAAGAAAATCAGCCACTTGTTCGAGAAATAATATTGAGTTTAAGGAATTTCAGATCGATATTTCAATGAGAAATTTTGAGAAAAGTTTGGGGAGGTGAAAGAGTTGTTATGCTGTTGAGGAGGCATGATTCCAGTAGGATGGAGCCACACCCCACACGTCAAGACTGACCCTTCCATGGTTGCAAGAATGGTTTGGGAAACAACTTATAAACCGAAAGCTTAAAAATAAATTGCCAGCACATTCCTTCGACTTCAACTCTCTTGAATATTTTCAGTAGAACTTTTGGCTGATGGAGACTGCAAAAACAACCCACACGCAATCGAACAGTTTGAATTCAATGTTGAACAGGAAGTCTAAAGAATCGACCAAGAGAAGTGCCACAAGGTTATCAAAAAATCCAGTAACGTTGTCGAGCTTGTCAGAAGAAAACTGATCAACGTGGCATGTTTTTTAAATCGATTTTGTAATTATGTCTTCATGAAATGTTGTCAACGTTTTCCTACGTAAACTTGTTGGTTTGAGAGGCCTTTTTGCCCTCCTAAAACTACGCGTGGTTTGTTTCACTCCAGAGTTAATGTTTCAGCCAGATTCGCTATTGGCAGTCGTGTTGCGAGTTTGCGTCTTTTCGGGAAAACCTGTTTTCTCCTAGCTCCTTGTCCAAGAATCGGGGTTCTGATGGAAATGGTGAGAAGAGACGTGAGAAGTGACATGTTGTGATAATAGAAAAATAATACAAGAAGGGAAGTGGGAGGTGGCCGTTTGTACAGGTGGTAGATTTGGACAGTTGGGCGCTAGAACAGGTTCTACTGTAAAAGACTGTTTGTTCACAGCATCCAGTTTCCCAAAAACGTTATTTCGGTAAACTTTTAGACTGGCCGATGTTTTCTGTAGACAGTTTCAGGTACATATGTTTCCTGTCCAGTCTTCTCCTAGCTACCAAAACTAGAGCAACCAGGGCACAGATACACGTGACCCCCACTGGCACACCAACAGCCAGTCCTAAACGTCTTTCTTTATCCTCATTCTTTCTAGATCTTATTACTTCGTCTATTTCTGCGCCTTGGGCAGAGTTGTGAGGCGATTTGTAATTACGTTTTGATGAAATGTTATCCTTGGGAAACTTGCTGGCGTGAGAGGTCTTTTCTTCTTTGAAAAACTCATCGTGGTTTGTTTGTTTCACTTTAGACCCAGGGTAATCCGGGATGTCCAGAGCTTTAAGCTCATCCTGTGTCAGGTCAGGTGGCGCCCAGTCCCCGCATCTGGGGAACCCCCTTGGTGGTTTGGGTAGGTCTTCGGGACTTCCTGTTTGCAGGAGTAAGGTCATACCGGTCTCGGTGTGAAACTCGATGTGGCAGTGCATGAGCCAGAAGCCTAGCAGATAAAAAGGTAGTAAACAACAGTTATGGGATGGCAAGAGTATTTAGATGAAATGAATGAAATTAAAAGTGTCTGACACGCCAAGAATAATTATAAATATTCAACATTTAATTTTATCATATCCCGGACTCTCAAGCGTAAGGTTGTGGGTTCGGGTCCCGTCTGGGGTCCGACTATGTATTCTTGGAAAATGCACTTTTTTTATCGAATGTTATTCTCTTCACCCAGGTGAGAATAAGTGCCTGGCTATAGGCAGCTACAGGTCTGATCAGTTTGTTAAAGTTTTAGCACGTGTAATCCTCAGTTTACACTGTGTGCTTCCCGGAAAGCCGATAAAGGCTCTAGGTGGTTTCAGTTTGCTGAGGTAATAATAGTTGTAAGGCACATAGTTTGCTGCAGAGCGTGGATTTGTTTGATGACCACGGAACATACTTTTTCCGGAGGGGGGGGTGGGGGGTTGTTTGCTTGTTTATTTGTTTGCTTTTTAATTATAGAGAACTACGTCGATATAATAGCGGCCACTTCGGGCGAGAGAAAAAAGTGCAAGACAGACCGACTGTAACAACAGAGAGGAAAGGAAAAACGTAAAGAAGTTATTAGAATCCACCAGTGGCACAGTCTAACCACCCACTTGCCTGGGTTGTCGGCCCGGAAACGTATGATGACCACAGAGCGGGCGTGGACGACCAGTGTGTCCTTGAGTGGGGCCCTGCTATGACGTCGTGGGAATTCCCCCATGGCGTCCATCTGCCTCACTTCATCCACTGTCAACTCTCTGTCAAACTGACACAGAAAATATTCGTCGTAAATATTCATGAAATGCAACTAAACATTTTCATGCGTATGGTTTTACTCTATCATCGACAAACTTAACCCTCGCAGAAGGACTACATCATAAAGCCCTTCCTCCAATCGACATAATTTAGATCATTTAGGAGGCGGAAGGATAGAGGGAAAGAGGAGCAGAGGAAGACAAAAGAACAACACAGACAGATGACCCGAACAGCTCTAAGACAATCAACACAATCAGAAAAAAATTTAGCTGATCAGGAAGACTGCAAAAAGGAAGGAATAGGGTACCGGGTTCCATGATCGATAATGTCTTCTCCAGATCTGAAATATCAAGAAGTTTCAATTTCATCTGCGACATCATTTGTCGCAACATGATTCCTGGGATTCATTTTCAAGTGCGTGTTCTTTTCAGAATTCAAGAAACTTTCTTATTATTTTACGTTTTACATTTTCTGTCCTCTCGTACTTAAGGTGCCAACGATAGATACACTTGTCTGGCCTTTTGGACCGCCGTGTTATTTCTTTGGATGGTCTCTTTGCCTCTGGGTAATCACACGGACAAAGGACACATGTCAGGAAAACATCTACAATCTTTTACCAAGCTCTTCTTGTGTCTGCATCAGCATCTACGGCGTAGCAGTAAGGCGGTTCGTCGTCGCACGCAGGAGACCCCAGTTCCAGAGTGGAGAGAAATATCTAGGTGTTTTTGCTGGGGTATTCCTCTCAGCCCAGGTAGGCTCTGGCAGGCGGGATTGATGCTCGCCTCTTGAACTATTATTATCGAAGCTGCGTCGATGGGGTGCGCAAATAACACCTACACTAAGTTCGATTAAGCGGGGAGTCAGACCTACCTGGTATATGCCCATGACGCGAAACCGATGTCCGTGAAGATGCATTGGGTGACTCGCGCTCAGAAAGCTGTGGACAAAATAGAGTGATTGGCTGGTGGTTCGAGTGGATGTGCTTATGGATATAGAGGGTGCAGAGTCTGGAGAATAATTATGGGGATGTTTGTTCGTAAAGAGATACTTATCAACACAGGCAGGGAAGAACCAAGACAGACAGACAGAAACAGCAAAAGGAAATAAAAGAAATAAGTCGTACCAGTGCCAATCCTATTATACGGGTGCGAAGAATGGACAATCAATAAACAGCTGGAAAGAACAATTGTTGCGACAGAGTTGTGATTCATAAGACACATGCTGCGTATCCCATGGACAGCTAGAAAAACAAATAAAGAAGTGTTGGTTAAAGCAAATTGCAGAAGACAGCTTAAGACGAATATACGAAAGCGACAGGCAAATTTCTTCGGACACACAATGCGGAAAGAAGCATTGGACAACAGGCAAGTTTGATGGAAAAAGAGGCAGAGGCATACCGAAAGAAAAGATACTGGACAAGATGACAACATGACTGGAAGCAGCAAGAACAACAGAAACCATTGCTGCAACGCAAGACAAAGTGAAGTAGAGGTCCATGATCGTCCACGACAGTCGGCGAGGTACCAGATGATGATTAGAAGGGGTGGTCATGATCGTGTTGATGGGGGCATTTCCGCTGCAGATGCTTTGATCATCGTCTGACTCTGACAGGCGCACTTCTGTTGTTATCATCATCATAATCCTCCTCCTCCTCCTCCTCCCACTCCTCCTCCCCCTCCTCCTCCTCCTCCTCATATTCTTCTTCTTCTTCTTCTTCTTCTTCTTCTTCTTCTTCTTCTTCTTCTTCTTCTTCTTCTTC